TATGACTACATGAATTACAGTTTCTGTGTCATCATTGGCAATTTATTTTAAATATATTTAAAGCAATCTTTATATATTAACTGTCACATTTAGTGAGGTAATGCAGTAAATGTTTACTCTGTACAGTAATTAAACTTTTATTCATCTATTTCCTTTTTGCATTAAATATCCACAGTTGAAATGGTTGACTTTAAAAAGAAATTATGCCAATTAACTGTTTAAAAAAACCCTATAGCTATTAAAATCTTCAAATTTTTGTGGCAAAATTACTGTATAATTAAAGGAATAGTGCTTTTAATAATGCTGGATATGTAATCCATCAGAACCAATTGTTTCCCTTGCCATCAGCACTAGTTTTCCCAGATGAGTCTTTCTGTATGAATTAATGAAAGAAATCTCTAATACCATAATGAGTATCATTCTAGAACCTAATTAAATGCAGTGAATGTTCAACTTCAGTGTGCTAACAGGGAGAAGATGCCTGGTTTTTTCTCCACAATACTTTTCTGGGGAGATGTGGAGCTCTTCTAATGAATGTGCTCACCTTAGATTCAGTGTGCTCTCTGTGTCCCCCGCTGCAGTACAGGTGTGCACGCAGGTGTGGTAGGAATGCTCAGGCACTTCTGTCAGTCCGGAAAAAGCATTCTGTTAACAGCAGCATTGCCTGAGATAAAACGTCTGGCCTTTCCCTGCGTCCTGAGCGTTTCCATAAGGGCCATTCTCACAAAAGCCAGGATGTGTTTGCCTGTGTACTCTGCAGTTAGTGACCGTGATATCGAAAGCGGTCCCGCGAGTTTACAAAGGAAATTTTCCCTGCCGTGCGTACAGGATCTTGGGTGCTGGTCTGACTGATTTGAGGGGTGTTAAAGCCAAGCTGTTGGTTGTAGTGAACAGGGGACAGCAGAAGAATCAGTTTTACTGTCTTGTGTGTTTCTTAAGAACTTGGCCAACTACAAATGAGTATTCATGACTGTGCCACCTGACTCTGTTTTGGCACTGAGTTACTGGTGGTGAATGTGTGGTACTTGCTCATGGCCACGGGTGTTGCTCTGCAGTGCCCATGTACTTCTGGGCATAACTGGGCACCTCAGACTGTGATGAAGTCCTTTCTGTCTTGTCAGCTCCTGACTTTAGTAGTAAGGTATAAATCAAGGATTCATACAATCATGGTTTGGGTTGGAAGGGAGCTCAAATCCCCCCCAGTGCCAGCCCTGCCATGGCAGGGACCCCTCCCACTGTCCCAGGTGCTCCCAGCCCCAGTGTCCAGCCTGGCCTTGGGCACTGCCAGGGATGCAGGGGCAGCCCCAGCTGCTCTGGGCACCTCTGCCAGGGCTGCCCACCCTGCTAGGGAACAATTCCTGCCCAGTTCAGCTGGCTGATCAGTCCTGGCAATAACATGTGCTGTCCCTGTATCCCTGAGGCCAGCAGGCTGGGCAGGTCTAGAAGCTTCTGGTGGTACTGAGTACCATGACCTTGATATGGTTACACCCATGGGCTGCCAGGTTGGCCTGATGAGTTGGGGACTTTCTGACCTGAGCCTAACTGTGAGCCATCCATTCATTGCTCTGCCTAAGGCTGCTGAAGTAGAACTCACAACTGGTCTGTGTTTGCAGACTGCTTGGAAAATCAAGCAGAGAACCTGTGGCTGCTGCCTGCAGTTGATTCCAGTGAGACGTGGTGAGCAGAGCGTGTGCCATCCCCTGGGCAGGCCTTGGAGCTGCAGTGTCACCTGTCCGTCCAGCTGAGAGGTGCTGGGCTGTGTCTGAGCCCTGGCTCAGGAACTGGGCTGCTCTGGGTGCTGGGCATGAGAGCCTGCAGGCTGAGCTGCTCAGGGGCACGGCTGCAGGAGGTGCTTCGTCCCTGACGCCTGGGGAAATCAGCCCCAGTGGCCCCGGGTGTAATGGTCCAGGTTTCTGCTCCAGAGAGGCTGTCCTGGAGAGGGCTGCAATACCCTGGGTCTGCTGTGTGCTGTGGTGCAGCCACTGATGTCCCTGAAAGTGAGGAAGGGAGGACAGTGCACAGCATGGCCGCTGAGCTTCCATTTCAGTACAGGCACCTAATGGCAGGTGCTGTGGAATTTCTGCTAACCGCAGAAGTCATCCATCTCAGCAACCTTTCAAATGGAACAAATAATAGCTTTCTTTCCTTATGTTTGAGATATTTAAAAGTTAGGATGTTTGGGTGGTTTATAATCTGTAATGTGTTCCTGTGTTGTATCACTTAGATATTTTATGTGCTGCTGCACATAAAGTATTTTATGCACCAGGTCTGCTTTTTCCAAAGGATACTGAAATTGTAAATAAGAAAATAAAGCAAAGCTCTTCAACTTTAAATTAATCTCATTTACCTTTATTGTTAAACTGACATTTATGAGAAACAAATTGAATTAACATAATTGCCTCAACAAAAGGGCCTAAGCAGTAGGCCCTGGAAAGTTTTTTTAATATATTTCATTGTGTTAGGGCACAGAATTATAAGTGCACTCCATCATTTTTGCAAGTTTACATTTATGTACCTAAGCCTGATTAAGTCTATAATAATGCAGAAAATGGTGATAGCTGTAATTTCCATTCCATTATAGGTTTGATTCTTTTTAGTGGGGTGTTTGGAATTGCACAGTCCAGGCCAGTCTGAATGTTAGTGGTATCAGCTCCTGAAACTTGACAGAGTTACTTCATCACTGTCACAGATTCATTGTGCACGAGTAGTTGATACTCAGTGCCACAAGTGTACACTATCAAACTAAACTTCTGCTGCATAAGTCTTAAAAATTAGTTTTTAAAAATGAGATTAAAACTGTACAAAGTCAAGCAATGAACAAATTGTGACACTCAGAAATGAAGTTGTGGCTTAAGCATGAATGGCAGTACTGTTTTTAATAGAGTTATGACACCCTGAGTGAAAGGGGGTTTAGAGCATCTGGTTTTTTCTTGGTTTACTTTTTGTTATGCGATGTAGAGAAGCTTTGGAGTTCACAATCCTGTCACCTAGATTTAAATGGTCACCTGTTTTTAGTATTATTCATACCTGAATTCGATCAATCACTATTTCCAATCACTTTTTTTCACTCAGTCATAAATTTCCGTCTCAGCTGAGGCATGGGGAATTCCAATGAAAATGAAGGGAAAAGGTTTCCAAGAGGGTGGTCAGAGACAGGAGCAGTAGCTCAGAAGGGAAGGCAGGACCTCTCCACCTCAGGAGAGTTCTGAGTCTCCTGTCAGTGCCCTGAGCAACCACACTGACAGGGCTTGCACTGGACACCTCAGAGGTCCCTTCTCACAGGGTTCTGCTGTCCTGCATTGTGGGGAAAAAGGAAAAGCTCACTTAAAAACATCCCTTAGATGTTACAGGTAGGCTGGATTGCCATGTGTTACTCACATAGCCTAGGATTTCCCATTCCAGGATCCTTTTTTCATTTGCTTTTAAATTTTTCAGACAGGATGCATTTGGGATTATACTTTCCAGATGCTTGCCAAGGCTCTTTTCTTTTTCTTTTGAAGGCCATGTAAGAAAAAAAGCTTTATCCGTATACTGAGTTCTTAAAGAGTATTATTATATAGTAAATGTTACTTTTATATATGTCAGATTTTGCCCTACGCATTGAAGAAAGAGATGGGCCAGAAGGGAATATCAGCTGGCAATGTTTTTGTCTTGTATGAGGATTTATTTTCTCCTGGCAAGGTGTCCTTGTTGCAGCACACTTAACCTTGAGTCCTTCCCAGGGATGTCTCCTGCAGTTCCTTGTTCACCTCCTCTGTGTTATAAAATAGACACCCAAAGGCCTGAAGGAATCTGCCTGGGTCGCAGGGACATGTACTCATCAATTAAACATGTGGCACTGCTTTCTGTTGGATGGACTAATATGCCAAGGAGATGGGCAGGACCTCCTGTTTGTGCTTTAGACAAATCAGAGAATGTCTAATCTCTGGATGTGCAGCATCTCATAAATAATGCAGCAGTCACCAGACCAAGCACTGCTGTGCTGGGAGGGGCTTTGTTGTTGGACAGGAAAAGATGTAATGAAACCAAATCATCCTTTTTGGTTAATGTGTTGCTTCTTTTATTCTTCTTAGTAAGAGTTTATCCAGTAACAGGCTGGGGTTTTTTTCAGTTTCTTTTGGGTGCATCAGATGTATCTAAATGCTCATCAAGTTGTCCTTTTAATTTTTTTTGTTGTTTTGTTTTTTTTAAAATATTCCAGCATAAAATCTATTTGCTCTGGTTTGTTTTTTTTCTTACTTGATTTTCATTTGCTCTCTTCTAATATGTAATTTTCCTCTCATTAACTGGGCAAAAGCAGTAAATGGCCTGTCTGTGGAGAAGACACAGCAAGCAGCCAGCTCACAGTCTCTGTGTGTGTGTCCCATGGCAAAGCTCCCATGAGAGCAGGGGAGGGACTGTGAGCCCACGGGTGGAGAAGGGCACGGGAGAAGGGGCCTGGGGCAGGAAGGCAAAGGGGGGCTGTCCCTGTTGAGGAACTATTTAACTTTCAGGGTAGGGAAAAACCACATCAGGCTGCGCTGGGAGGTCGTGGAGCCTCTTCTGCACGGGCTTTAGGTGCAAGTTAGAAAATTTCAAAATTGCCCTTGTTTCCTGTGCCACATGCTCTAAAAGCTTTGGTTTTGCTTTGAAAGTGAAGAAGAAATGGTGAGGTTTTTATAACAGAATTGAGGGTCTGTTCTGGGGGCTCAGAAAGGCATCTGTCTGTGTCACCTACCACATCCATCTGGTGCTGCAGTGTACACCTGGCAGTGCCTTACCACAGTCAGTCAGCTGCTAGAGGTCATCTTTATAATGACTCATGAAATCTCAGAGAAGCAACAAAAGAAATTAAAATTTTTATAGATCTTAGAAAATGTAAACATTGGTTTATTTATTAGTATTTAATTTCTTGAGTTTGGGTTTTTTTGTGGTTGTAAAGCCTGATGCTCTTTTGGGTTTTGTTAGCCAAAGTACATATTATTATAATTCCATGTTTCATTGGGTTTTTTTTTTTACAGGCTCTAGGAAGTTTTTACTTTCTTCATGAATCTTTGAAAAACATCTACCAGTTTGATTTTAAAGGTAAGCAAAGGCATTAAATGTTTTAATGGTTAGTTGGCTTTATACATCAAGGCAGCTTTTCCATCCTTTTTTCTGGTGGTGGTACCTGGCAATGTTTTCGTGTTATGCAGGCTCCTGTAAAATGCAGGCAGGTCCCTTGGTGACAGGTGTTGTAAAATGCAGGCAGGTCCCTTGGTGACAGGTGTTGCTTTTCTTACCTTTTATAGACCTTTTAGAAGAAGTCAATGGACCAGCCACAGGCTGCAAGCCAGAGCATTAATCATTCCCATGCACCTTTAGGTCCATAGTGATCCCTGGGGATTTCAGAAGAACTGTGAATGGCCACAAGGTTCTTCCATGTAGATCAGATACAGGACCAAGACCTTAACTGTCCAGCAGTGATGGCCATTTTGCAAAGCAGCTGAGGTAGATTTATGGCTTAAATTACTTGGGAGCAGAGCAGGTCAGTAGGAGGGTGGCACTGTTTAACCCACAATGATCCCTCAGGTTGGAGGTCTTGCTGTGTCTCACAAGTTTGAAAGTATAACTGGGCTATATACATTAAATATTAGAAATATCATAGAAAATTATTGAATGCTTCCTGAGGTGAATATAGAAAAGATTATATAGAATTTATGTTCTTTCAGTTGAGAACTGTATCTCTTTAATACAAAAATATCCTGAGCTTCATTTAGCTTACTGAGCTGACTCACATTAATACTATGTCTAGCATCCCATTAATGTGAGACACTGTTGAAATGGTAGTGACTATGGACTGAACTAATTGTCATCATTATATGGATTAATTATTTTTGTTCTCAGCAGATTCTCTCTGCTCACATAATTGAGGGTATAGGATCTTCCTGCCCTGAAATATTTGAACAGTGGTTCTGTGTATGTACAATTCAAGACTTAGCCTCCATAAGTCCTCCTGTTAGCACTGGTTTCAGTGCTGAAGGAACATTTTTGCTGCAATATCACCGACAGAGTGATTTTATTTCTGACAAACCGTGTGGGAGCTGTGCACAGCGGAGCTGGCGCTCCTGAGAGCTCGCGCCTGGGCTCTGTCCCTGAGGAGAGCAGTGCTCAGGAATGGAGAGTGCACATGGGGGGGAGGCTGGGGGCAGCCCCCAGGCCCTGGGCGGGACCCTTTGCTGTCCTCTGCGAGGCTGTTTGTTCATTCTGCCCTGCAAATGGCTTTGTGTGCCAGTGGTTTGGGAGCTGCCTCCGCACACCTGAGCCCTCAGCTCCATCCCATCAGCCCCAGAGGAGCAGCAGCAGTTTCGCCCCAAGCTCCACCTGTAGGTCCCTCCCAGTGGTCACAGGCAGGCGGTGTCCTGCTCCTGTGACAGGGAAATGACAGCTGCTTTAGCAAAAGAGGAGCTTTCTGCATGTATTAGTCCTTTGTTGGCAGCTTATTTGCTACTGTACAGCTTTTAAAGAAAGTGTAAGAATTTTTAAAAAGTGAGAAAACAGAAGAAAAAACTATAGAGGAAAACAATAAATAGCAAAACAATAAACAGATGCTTGTTTCAGAAAAGAAATGCTTTAAATGGTTGCTGCTTTGTTTTGCATGGTAAAACCGTAGCAGAGCCAACTTGCCAGTGTGAACCATGCTCATAAAGATGGGTTTGGCCCAAACATCATTTAGAAGGAAAAAACTCTTAATAAAAATCAAGGAAATGGGTGAATGAGTGTTGTAAGTCACACGCTGTTCTTGTCAGAGCAGAATCCATCTCCCAGCATAGGGTTTGTAAAGTATGACCCCAAAGGCTCCCATCTTTCAGGGGAAATGTAAAACTTGCCTCTTCTCTCATGACTACTGACGTTTTCACAGTGTATTAAGCTCTTAAATCAGAAGAAAAATCCAGATGGATACAAACATTCTCTGCACAAAAATCATTATGAAATTCTGGTTCTACTCGAAAGTGTGCAAAAAATAGATGTTAATACACGATTCAGTATTCCTGGAACATCACTGTTGCTTTTCAAAATTCACTGCACAGTTGGATGTGACTGAATACAGACTGGAAAAAAAAGATTGTTGCTGTTTTTCAGATCTTAGGAAGACATATCTCCATTTTGAAAAAGGAATAGTTTTCTCTTGCAACCTCACATATTATATGCTATAGTGTAGGTCTGTTGAGCTGTTTTCACAGTGGTCAGAGGCCCAAAAATTTGCTTACAATTCAAACTAGTGCCAAGCTGACTGTTCTGAAGGGATGTCCTCTAAGAGAGGGGGTTTAGGCCAAGTTGACACTTGTATTTACAGAACGAATCTTGTTCGCAATGGAGCGGGTGTTGGCTGCAGGCAGGCTGCGCTGCCCCGCACGCTCTGCTCTGCAGCGCTGTCACAGCGAGCCTCTGGCTCACGGGGGATGCAGAGCTGCCTCCTGTGCCAGCTGCTGCCTGTCCCTCAAGTTCTCCCAGCAGGTGCCTTCGGTCCTTGCACTTCTGCCAGGTCTTTTCTGTAACTCAGAAGGCATCAGGATCTCTTTGCTGACACTGTTAAACTTGCTGAAAGAGTCACATCCGTCCACAGTTTACTTAGAATGATGCCAGTTTATCAGGATATTTGTTCAGTTGTCCCATGGGAGCCAGGCCTCAGAGGGGTTGGCACATAAAGAATGAAACTTTTTTTTTTCCCAAAGACATTGGGCTGCATTACAGTAAATGCTTCCTCAGATATCCAGTAGGACTGAACAGTTTAGGAATCTTGATAATGCTTGGAGTTTTTCTCTTACACATTCCCAGCTGAAACTGACTCCAGCTGAGCAGGTCCAGGATAATGGCAGGGGAACATTAGCTGCCTGAGCTCCTGTGTCAGAGGAGTTAAACTAAGTCAGGTTCTCACCCTAGATATGCCAGTACATTGTTCTCATCAGGTAAGAAACCAAGTATAAAGTGGATCAAGAAGGAGAACCTCTCATTCATGAGCTGAGTCGATCCATAGGAGTCTGTGTTGTTTCTGCCTATGATGAAATTGTTCATTAGAGACCTGGAAAGTGATGTGCATCACCACTGAAACTCTTGTACTAGTCCAACACCCATTCCAGCTGTAAAAATACATGCCTCGTGTGCTGATGGCCAGAAAGGGTTGTGATCAGATGGAGCCTGGGGGCTGCAGGGTCTCAGAGCAGCTGAGATGGGATTTGAGTGCAGGGGTGTACAGAGAACAGGCTCATGATTAGAGCTCCAACACTTCATGGGGCTCTGGGTCGTAGAAATGACAATATCATAACTGTGCAACTTCAAGGTGTCTGATATAAACAGGGTGTTTATTTTCCCCCAGAACAGTTCAGTGCTTGCACATTTTTTGTAAGATCCTGTTGATTTACCAGCTGTTTTTCCAATGCTGCTGCTTTGCCAATAAGTGTGAGAAGATGCTCGTAATGTTGAAGTTATGTGTGCTAATTTTGGTTTATCTCTCTTCCTAGCTAAGAAGTATAAAAAGGTTACTGGGAAAGAAATCTACTCTGACACTTTAGAAAGCACACCCATGCTGGAAAAAGAGAAGTTTCCACAGGATTATTTCCCTGAGGTATGTACAGAACTGTGAAGCATTCCCAAATACCAGGTTTGATTCTGATTTCCTCTGACTACTCTTGAGCAGCTCTTCTCAGTGATAAGGGCGGAATGGAATCTTGGAATTTTGTCTGTTTCTTGACACCTGTAATCCATGTTTTAAGCCATGGCATGATGTACCAAAATCCAGTAAGAAATCCTCGTGAAGGGTGAGGACAGTGATGCAAAGACTGCTGTGTGCAGTGAAGCCCAGGCGCTGTGGCAGTGTGCCATGGCAGGGCTGTGGATCCTGCCAGCCCAGCCAGCACAGGGAGCCTGCCCTGCTGCAGGGACCTGAGCACACACTGACACTGTCCTCCAAGGCTGCCCTCACACCCCTTTGCACTTGCTCTCAGAAGAACTGGGGGTGCTCCACGTTTGAGATTGCTGGTCTTGTCAAAACAAGCAGAGCTGAGGGGTTTCTTACACTGCACCTGAAAGTGCAGACTCTCTCTTCTTTGATGTTTTCTTTAGTTTTCTCAATTTTAATTTCTTGAGAATATCTAGAACATGGGTGTTTAATGGTTAATGTTCTCCTCAAACCGAGTGAATAAATTGGTTGAACTGCTGTAACATTTGGGGATCAAACAGGCATGTCACTACTTCAATAAAAGGAAGAACTAAATAAACTCCTAAAATTAATTTAGAATTTGTAAATATACACACTTAGAGATATTTACACAGTGCTTGTGTGCTTGGCAGAGCATTGCATAAATAGTTATGAGATTGATAGGATGAAGGTTGTTCTTTTTCTTGACTTGGAAACTAAATTATTTATTTTTATATCTCAGTACTGGAAGGAAAAGTGCCTTTGACATAATTTTGCAAAGCATTCAGTTCCTGTGAATAAACATGTCAGATAGTTTGAAGCTAAGTGTTAGATCACTCTGAGGGAGCTGGAGCCATTCCTCAGGTGTTTGTTTTCCCCTCTGTGGCAGTGAGCTGCAGCCGTGCTGTGCCAGGGCTGAGAGCTCTGCACAGCAGCTGAGTTCCTCACAGCCCCAAGACAAGCTGTGCCTTGCTCACTGACACCCAGGAAAACTATTTCCTCCTTTATTTACTTCACTGCTCTTGCTTCATTGTGATGCTGGCAAAGCTGTAACTTGTTCAGCATTGTTTATTACCCCTCTTGCATCAATAATTCTTCACAGTCTCTTGGAGCAGCGGTCGAGTCTTAGGGCTCTCCCACACGGTTTTGTGGAGCAGGAATGGTGCTGAGGGATCAGGTGTTCTCCCTTCATTAGCAGCTGCAGCTCCTCCTCAAGAACCCTCCTGTGCTGCTTTAGGCACAGGACCACGGGGGCTGCAGGGAACCCGAGGAGCAGCCTTTGGAGGCTGTGACACCCTCAAACTGCTCCCGTGGGTTCCAGTGCCTTAAACAACTGTTCTGAGCAGAAACCTCTGTGGTTTGGATGTCAGGGATAGTGTTTACCTGGAGGAGGAAAAGACAGGAAAAGAGAAAATCTGCAAATATATGCAATTAAGTAATGAACTAATCTCTGAAGCTCCTTGAAAGCTCAGTTCTGTTCCTGCCCCCAGCACAATTCCTGGGAATGCTGTTGCAGCCAGACCCATGGAGCAGGCTGGGGCCGTGCTGCTGCAGAGCTTTGCACAGAAGGAGAGGAAAGGGACACGGGCTCTGCAGGTCTGCAGGGACGTGAGGAACAGCAGCATCCTGAATTACTGCAGCTCTGGAGCCTGTGTGCTCCCCTGGCCTGCACCCTGGCATGTGCCAATCCAGTATATTTTCATCTGACTTGAAAAGTTAGAAAGTAATTGCAATGGTTCTTAGACCATGCTGTTTCTCTGTGGAACTGGAGACCAAGAAGTGTCTGAAGCACAGAGACGCAGCAAGAGCAAAAATCAACAGGGAGATATTTTGGTTCTCAGATGCATGTTTCTATATGTAAAGCTAAAATTAATTTGCTATCACGTTTTCTCTCTGGACAAATGTTAGTAATAGCAATTAAAAGGCCACAAAATAATATGTATTTTGGAAATTTGGGTTTACTCAGCAGAAAGCATGAGCAGCATATTTACCCAAACATTGCATTAACATGCTCTTGTGTGTTTTAGCCAGACCTTTCATATCACATCTGCAATTTTTTGTGTGGGAAATGGTTTAAGACTGATTTCTTTTATTGCAGCTGTTTAAGGATGATCTAAAAGTAATTACAGTGATTGAGGCATAATGCAATTCAAAATAATTACGGCCCACTGCATATAAAACTAACAAAACTTTCTGCTTTGATTTATGGGTCCTCTTGGCAAGGCATAAACCTCAAATGATGCCTCTGGGAGCAACACTCTAGATAATGTTAGGCCATTTTAAAAAAAGCAGATTTGTGTAGTCTATCAGGCCTGAGTAATTTTTTTTTCTCATAGTGAGAAATTGGTTGTTATCATAGATCACAGATACTGCTCAAAGCTCTTATGAAAGATGAATTAATTTCACTAATGCTTTAATGCAAACCTTTCATGGAGGAGGCTGTATGGTGATAACCTTACTGCGGTCTCTCCTTTCTCAATTATGATTTATGTTGTCTTTTAGTAGATGAAACTGCCTGTATTCACAATCCATCTGCTGGCTAAAGGAATCCTATTAACAGAGGATCTGAGAAGAGACTTAATAATATAAGGTGAAAGATGTGGCATCCCCTTTCTGGGACATGAAGTAGGATTTTTTTTTTCCTATTTTAAAATGTAGATCACTCTCTGAGAGCATAAGATGACCTATGTCATCTCCACCTGGTTTTATGTGGGCTTACAGATGGTATACCAGAGTGACTATTTGTTAAAGTAAAAATAAAGATTGTTGCTTTGGAATCTGCAATAAAAAGCAAATTTCTCTTTCCTCCTTCCCAAGCTATAACTCTTTTTTACATTCTGTTTCCAAAACTTTCTGCATTCCAAATACTTCATTTAGAAATACTGAAGCATATGCATGATCCAAAAGTCCATGAGGCATGTTGTTCAGCTGCAGTGTGTACCCAAGGCTGAGGATGACTCTTCATGTCAGAGCTTTGAGCTCCAGCTCCTGGGCTGCACTAGGAGGCCTGAAGCCTGCTAACTTCTGCGTTCCTAATGTTAAATAGACAAGCTATTGATACGTGAATTATTTACTGAAGTTAAAGGAATTAAATGTGTTCGAGTTATGAGTAGCTAAAGGTAGTTTGCAGGTTGGGATATATGCCAGTTGCACAATGAAACCAGTGTTATTTTACAGTTCAGAGTTCCTGCTTTATTCAGCCTCAGCTGTATGACCTTTTCCACTGTGGGCTTAAGCTCCTCCCTGGTCTCCTGGCTTCTCTCTGGGCCAGGTAAAAGGCCCAAACCCTCATGGCTCTGTCCACCAGTTGCTGCTTTTTGGCAGTGACTCAGTCTGGAGCGTTATGGAGCTGCTGACTTCAAGTAGTTGCTGAAGCAACTGATCTAAGGGAAGAAAGGCAGTATTTTGAAGTAGGAACTACATTCTACATTGTTTTCATGGCAAGCTGCCATAATCCAGCTCTGTTTCCTGTGTAGAGAAACCCTGAGTGTGTCATGAGCAGGGGATGTGGTCTCCTCTGTAAGGCTCTGAGGAGGAGGAGGAGGAGTTCTCACCAGGGAAGGAAGCATTGTCAGTGCTGGGCATTGCTGCCAGTATTTGGCTGATTCCTGTTTCAGGTTTCCCTCTGAGCTGTGGTGTTCCTTTAAGGAGCTGCAATTACACTGCAGTCATCACCACTTTAATATGTCTTTCCTTCATGCCCTGCTTTGTATGGTTGAATAAACCCTTTCTGGGTCACTATTTAATTTGATATGGTCCCCCTCAGTAAAATGATGGAGAAAAGATGAATTAAGGCTCTGTGCTGGTCATTATCAATCATGGTTTGTGTGCATTACTTATTGCTCACAGTGCTTTTTGACATTAGCCCTCTCTAACCTCTCTCTTCATGTTAATGCTGCCTGGAGGTCCTTTCCCCCGATGTAGCAGGGGTTATTTATGTAGGTGGTGGTTCTGGGGGGTTTTAAAAGGTCAGCACAATCTCTTCAGGGACTCTATTCACAAAGGAAAAGCTGGCAGAATGTAACTGCCAGTTTTCAAATTGTGATTTTAAAAACAGTATTTTTTTGGTGAGGACTTCTGCTAGCGAGGTGTCAGAGCTCCAGGTGTGGGGCTGGCCCAGAGCTGTGGCAGGACACAGCAGAGAGCCAGTCTGTGCCCCAGGAGAGGGAAGGGACAGGCTCAGAGGACAGCTGCCCTGGGGCTCTGCAGGAGCAGGGACAGCAGAGGCAGCAAGGGAAAATCTGATTTAATCTGGAAAAAGCTTTCACCATCAGGTTAAACAGCAGGAGATGGGCCCAGACAGGTTGTGGAATGGCTGTTCCTGGAGATGCTCAAAACCCAGCTGAGTATGACTCTAAGCAAGATGATCTGGTTGGGCCTGTTTTGGTGTTGCATCTTTTGAAGTACTTTTGCTATTTTGCCAGAGAGGAAAATAGCAAATGAGGATTGGCAGCCTGATTGAAAACATTATCTTGGACCACATCATAGGCTTGGACTACTTGATTTTAAGTTCTGTGTAGTTGTTTTTAAGAAGGAAATGACAAAGCTCCCTTTTTTAATCAAGATGAAATTCAAGCCAATTTTGAATGCTTTTAGCATTCAATTTTTTTCATTGATTTCCTTTTGAATAAGTGTTGACATCTCTACTTGTAACTGTGTCCCCATGAGCATCACAGAAGAGACCTAACTGTGTAGGGGGATACATTATAAGAAAATAAAGGTGGTATAGAAAGTAATCTTACCCCTTAAGGAGCTGCAGCTGAGCCAATTAGTAGAGATTGGGAGCAGGCCTGACTTGAACAGGCTGCAGCTGTAGCCAATGAGAAGAGTGTTATAAAAGAGTGGGTTGGTTGGCTGAGGGGAGCTAGGGGCCCTTGGCTGCTGCAAGAAGAAGGAAGAGTCAGTGCTTAGAGGAGCTGCCTATGAGAAACATCAAGGAGGTATGACACTCTGGCAATATGGACCCTTTGCAATATAATAACAACATTACTGGACTGTGGGGTTTGTGCTCCACTTGTGGATCCTGTTAGGAAGGGTTAGAGTGTTTGCTTTCCAGCTAGCCATCCCCTGAGTGCTTGCTGGACCTGCAGAAGAGGCTAATCTTTCACTGTTAAAAAAATGGCAATAAAGTAAATTGTTATTTGAAATACAATTATTATGGTGTTGTTTCTGGTTGGTCTTGGCTGCTGTCACTGTGCTTGTGCCTGAGGAGAAGGGGAGGGAGATGGGTCCCTTTTCCCTGAGGGATGCTCAGAAGATGCAGACTAGGTTGGACAGGGTTGGAGCAACATTGTCTACTGGAAAGTGTCCCTGACCACAGCAGGGAAGCTGGAACAAGGTGAACGTCCCTTGCAACCCAAACCAGTCTGTAATTCATTTGAAGTTAGCCTGGTTTGGTTTGTGGAGGCCCTTCACTATCTCAGCAGAGTTTAGGATTGAGAACTGTCTGTTTTTAGAGAGAATGAATACACCTGGCCAGTGCCTCAAGAGAGGTTTGGGGGAGTGGTACCTCTGACTGGGGATGCTCTGCTGGGACTGGCAATTTATTCACAATAAGGACTCACATTCTTTAGCTACAAAATCATTGGCATCATTATTTAGGCCTGTATGGTGCAATATTCATTCCCAGAGCAGATTAGCCCAGACACACATGCATTGTTAACAAGGAATAAATAGGATGCAGAATCATGTATTTTTATGGGAGGTTGTGGATTGTGGCAGTGGCTTGGAAGTGGTGCTGAACAGCCCCTTCTTGTATGTGAATGACATGTATGGGCCCGAGCTGAATTGTGGCTTTCTAACCAATGGTGTGGCTGTGATGAATGGAATCTTTTACCACTATTTAAATTCTTACCTTTTGTAGAAATATTGGGTGACTTGGCTCAGCAAGAGAAATAGCTTTCTAGCAGATCTCATTCATTTTAATTTGATGTAAATCTCTGATGACATTTTACAGTTCAGGTAAAATTACAAAAAAAATTAGAAAACATTGCATAGGCAATAAGAATTTGCTGGTTTAAGCTAAGCATAAATATAGCTGGAAAGCTTTCCTATCTGGTTATCTTTGATTTGTAAACAGCTGCCAGGGCTTTTATTAGTTTTACATGTAATTTTGTAACTGCTGCAGGATCAAAAATGTAATTAATTCTAGGATTTATAAAAGACACAATATCTGTTTTAAAGGTACCTCAGTTTGTGTTCAGTGCTTCTTGGTTATAATGTATGGATGAGCTCTGCTTCATTTTGTCCTTTGTGTCAGTACATTTCACTTTCACAGTATTCTTTACCTAAGATGATTGGTTCTCATTCATTTATTTTTCAGTGCAAGTGGTCCAGAAAAGGTTTCATTCGAACAAGGTGGTGTATTACTGATTGGTAAGTTGCATCTTAAAGTTGTTTCTGCTTACGTTTGTTTTATGTGCGTTTGTTAACAACGATTTCAGGCAGGTGTTTCCATGTGTAGACTGGTCTGTTGATAGAGCAGGGGGTTCCAGGCCTGCTCCTGTCTGTTGGACATGGGGTGCTCAGTGGATTGTGGTGGTGTTGGTGTGGCCCTGCGCGGTCAGAGGGGGCTCAGGTCAGGCACAGCGTGGGGCTGGCACTGTCCCCCTGCTGCTGCACCACCCTGGGGCTTGCCAGCATCTCGCCTGCCTCTGTGCAGCCCTCACCTCCGGGGCCTCTGCAGGGAGAGCATGTTCCATGGAAATCTGAAGAATCTTCTTCAGATTTCTCTAAGCCTACCTGGAAATCTGGCCTTGCTTTTTTACCGTGTACTCACAGCTTTGGTCTTTACTGCTTACTTATATTGTAGTCATGTACATGAACATTCAGCACTTTTCCCTTCCTCATGTGGTTGTTTCACATTTACAATTGAAAGCTTGATTTTGAAATCTCATGAATGTTCGCATAGGTTGACTTCTGAGTACTGAACAGTGTTCTGGCTTTGTTGGCATAAGCATGTTTATTTAATTAGACAGCTTGTGAAAACAGAAAAGGTGCCAGGTTTATTCCTTTTATGGGCTTCTGACCTAGAAATTGGGCAGGCAGTTGTGTGATACTGTAGGTTCATGTTAATTTTTCCAGATCCATATGCTTGGGGTGTGATTCCAGCACTAGATAATTGCAGAAGTGGGTGTTAACATCAGATGCTAATCTGGACTTTGCTCTTGCATCATGACTTCCCTAGGTTCTGTCTCTTCTGTCCTCTGGGATTTCCTCTCTGCTGAAAAAACAACATGAATTTCTTTTTAGGCCTTTCCAAGAAAAAAAGGTTCTTCAGAGACAGATTTAAATGTAATGTTTTCTTGTGGGGGCATTAAAAAAAGACAGTCCTTGGCTGTAGGGGATGTTTGGGTGTGCTGGGCAGTGAGGATGAGGAAGCTCACAGCTTCTCCTAGTCTGTAATGAGCCATGGTGGTAGTTCTGTCTGGTGTAATTTGCAATCATGATCCACATGATCTAGCAAGGTTTCAGATTTTCTAATGGGAGATTGAAGGGGTGAGTTACTATGTACAATTTCTGAAGAATGAAAGTGAAATACTGTGGGAAATGCAGGTTGTTATAAAATCCACCTGAGGAGGTCTGAGTGCATAATGTGACTTTTCAGGGTGTGATGAGTGCTCGCACCCAGTCTCTGTGCATATGAACAAAGTTCTGCCCATAGTCATGAAAACCAGTTCCATAAATCATGACTTTTGGTCAATGCATTTCTACAGTCTAATAGATCAATAAAAATAGAGCCCAGGCACTTGTTAGTACTTCTGTGTGAGACCTTAACGGGAACTATTCATTTTCCCTACCTAGGAACACATTATTACAGAATGTATCTCATGCCAAAAACAAGGGACTCCCAAAAAACCAGAAAAGTGACCTTAACAGACTTCAGAGAACTGTCCTTTTTCTTCCTCTGTGATCAGTGGTCTGCCCCAGTTGAGTTTCTCTGTGAATCCAGATTTTTCAAATCCATTATTCTTCATTAACTTACCTTTAGTGTGGACAAAGAACTAAAGAATCCTGGGGCACTCATGATTTTTCACATTATGCAAAAATGAAAGAGAACTTTATAATTCATGCACTTTAATTTTGTGGGGGTTTTTTAGTATCTTGACTATAAGGTGAAGGTGTTTGTTTCTATTCAAATAGTTCTCAGTGTTTTAGCAGGTGCAAGATAGTGCACTGAATGCATTACAGTCTTAAATATAGTTTACATACGTAGTTCATATTTGCTACTGAGAATAGAGTAGAGAATGTGCTTAGAGCATTTAGGCAGGGCACCAAGCTTGGGGATGTTTGCAAGTGTATCAGTGGTCAGAATCAGCAACCAGAATAATTTTGATATTCTCAATGAAATAATATTGGAAGATGACAGCCAGGGAAATGCAGAGCATTGCACTTTGAGAGGAGAATTTAAAAGCACCAATACTATTTTTGGGAATAACTGACTCATTACCCCTGCTGTAGAAAAGGATCAAGGGAGAAGGAATTGAATATGGATCATTATTATCTTCCTGAGATGTGTTAATAGGTAGGTGCTGTGAAGGACACGAGGGGAGAAGGCACAGTAATTATTTGAGTGCTGCCAAGGCCTGTGATAGAGTGTTCTGTTTGGCTTTCAGTGCTGTGCTCTAGGTATGCTGGGAAGAGTCAGGAATGGTGGAAGGGTTTGGCCAGGGGGTGAGAAACTTGGGCTGACCACAGCAGGGAAACTAGTTGCTGTCAGCCCTGCAGAAGGGGCAGAAATCAGTTTAATTTGCAGGAAGATAGGTAATATGATGAAAAGCTGAGTTTAAGGACAAGAAGGTTGCAGGTGGAAGGCCCATCATCAGTAAATTTTAAGAGCAAGCATGTTTAGACACTTGAGGGTGGGTTATAGGTAACTTTACACATCGGGTGAGCTGGTGACTTGGGACCCTCCCTGTCCCACAGGGATTCTTTCTGTCTGTCCTTCAGACAGACAGGACTGGATGTCTCAAGCTGTTGTGTTTTGTAGTTCTGTGGTCGTTATCTCTTTATAAGAAGGGTAGTGGGACTGCTCTCCATCAGTGTGGGTTCTCTGGACAGGATGAGCTGCTCCCTGGAGCCAGAGATTTTCACCAGGATCTCTGGCAGAGCCCTTTGTGCTGTGTGACCTGTGTGTCTGACCGTGCTCTCACTGTTCTCACTGCCATTATTGCTGTGTCCTGGTCCATTCCCATCTCTGCCATGGTCTGGGAAACCTCCCTGAGCAGAGCTTGGGTTTCTGCTTGGTGTCTGTCTCAGCCAGAGCCTGTCCATGCACTCACTGGCAGGCTCAGGGGGCCTTTCTGGCCTAAACAGGTCTGTGCTTCTGTGGCCTCACAGGCATGGACCAAGAGAAGCAGCAGGTGTCCTCTTCCCAGCTGGACGTGGTGTGTGTATTGACTGCTGCTGTCTCAGCATTCTCTGCACAGGGACAGATAAGGAGTCACAGTGATATGATTTAGTCCTTAATGGCAGTAACATTTTCCTCTCAGTAGCTTTTCGTGTTGTTTATTGCAGAGCCACAGTTCTACTTGACACTTAGCTGCAGCTTTGAAACTGGAAGTTGTTTGTTTACACATTTAATTTTGTTTTAAAAATATTTTAGTGAAAGGGTACTGCCTGATTTCTGGAATTGTAACTGGCAAATAGCTTTTCATTTTCATGTTATACATCCTTTATGCAAAAGGCTTGATGGAGTCTTACCTGTGGATGAGCTGTAAGTTTGGTGGCAGTCTGACAATTTTCTGATTATGATAGCTTATTCTGCACAGTTCTTGTGAGTAAATATTAAGGTAACATAAGAGTGAATACAGTAAGTGCTGTGTTGAATACTTTGCTGATGCAACAAATGTTTTTTTTTCTTTTATCCTGAATCATTTTATTTTTTTCCTTTTTTTGTCATAGTGCCTTTGACTTGGTAAACATTCATCTTTTCCATGATGCTTCCAATTTAATTGCTTGGGAAACAAGCCCATCGGTTTACTCAGGAATACGGCATAAGGCTCTTGGCTATGTACTTGATAGGTATGTATTAGCCTTTCCTGGCCTCTTTCAATCTCTGTCTTCATAAGCAGCGAATGAAGGATGTTTCAAATGGCACACTCAGAAATGTAGAGGGTTTTATTCTGTCACCTGAAAGTGGTTACTGCTTGCCAGAGTTTTCTAGACAGTGCAGGTTACAGATCACTTTATGACATTTATTCTTTAAAGCCAAATAACTGAACTCAGGGAACCACTCTGAAGTCACCAGAATTGCAGAGTAGGAACCACACTTATTTTCTAAATGTGTTAGGTAGATTAGCTTATTTTTAGACTATGTGAGCTCTAGTGAAGTGCATTCAAGTGCATTTTCAATTACAGAATAACAGAATAATTCCAGTTGGAAGTGCCCTCTGGAAGTCCCTTACTCATCCCTCTGTTCAGAGCAGGGCTGATTTCAACAGCTTGTCCAGCTGAGCTTTGAGCAGCTCCAGCATGGTGGTTTGTAGCTCTTCTGGGCCACACATTGCTGTGTTCTACTACCCTCACTGTGAAGCTTTCTGTCCCTATTTTCCAGACAGAATTTTCCTTAAAGTGGTTTGTGTCCATCACCTGGATCTTTTGGCATGCCCTGCTGAGCAAAGTCTGGCTTTTTCCTTTCTGTAACTACCAAAGAGGTAAAGCCAGCAACAGAGTCCTCATGTAGACAGCTCTTCTGCAACCTGAGCAAGCCCAAGTCTTTCAGCCTCTCCTTGTGAGTCCCTGCACACAGAGCTGGTGTGCTTTAATCCCCACACCAGCTGGGTACAGCAGGCAGCTCATCTCTGCAGCAACACAGCGCTTGTGTATCGTCGCTGCTGGTGTTAGTGGCCACATGGGTTCTGGTGGTATTACAGAGCTGGTTCATCTGATGAGTGGTACAATACAGAGGAGTCCCAAAAATACCCAGAAATTTACAGCTGCCCTAATTATAAAGCCAGGAAGAAGACAGCTTTCTCTTGAGTAAGAAAACAATGTTTCTGTGTGGGCATCGGTGTGTTGGCAGAGTAAACAGGTATTTCTACTAGCAGGTGCCAGCCAGCGTCATGTTGGCCTGAGAAACAGAGCTTTAATGTGTCCCTTCAGAGCAGCGTGGCACACACTGCAGGCCATGGCCTAATGGGAGGCTTCAAACCAACTGCTGAGCCTGGAAGGAATACAGAGCCAGAGCACTTTGTTATATACAGAGTGTGGCACACACTGCAGGCCATGGCCTAATGGGGGGCTTCAAACCAACTGCTGAGCCTGGAAGGAGTGCAGAGCCAGAGCACTTTGTGTGCTGTTCCTGCCTCCAGCCCTGCTGCCCAGCAGCCCGTGGCCATGAGCCTCTTCACCAGGCCCCCCAATGAGCACAGGACCACTGCTGCTGTCACCTGGCCAGTGTCACCTGGCCAGTGTCACCTCTGTCCTTCCCCAGGGCGAGGAATGGGGGGCCCAGCCCGGCAGGGCTGCTGAGCCCCATCCTGCTGCCCCACTCAGGCTTTTGGCTGAGCCACACCACTGGCCAGGGCCAGCCCTTGCTGGCTGAGAGCAGCACCTGCCTGGCCCCATGGGCAGCCTCCGCTCCTCTGCTGCCTGGCACAGCCATAAGGCATCCCTGTCCACAGTCTGCTCTTCTGCCTCTCTCTGGCAGCAGCCTGCAAGTTACAGACACTCCTGAACAAAGCAATTTATGTGTTGGAAAATATCTTGTTCCCGTTTTTCCCTATGTAGCTTTTCATTGAAAATGTTTCGAAATGTTGCAGTGGTGTGTAAATGCCTTTCCCGTCGTGTTCTTTCTCAAATTTCCCTCCTCTCTGTGGGTTTTCTGTCCTGTAGGGCCGGTAGGTGGGATAGTAGAGACTGCCTTTCCCCCAGCAGGGGGCTAATCAGGAATTTCTCCAAACAGGAATTTACCATCACCTTTGGGATGACCCAGGGGTGAACAGGAAAAAGCCAGTATTGCCTTTCTCTTGTATCACTTGCAAAACCTGCTCAAACCACTTGAAAATGCTGGAGGCAATTGGAAGGTTTGCATAGATAGCATATATATAAAAGATCCCTAATTTACAGAACAGGGGCTCAGGAAGATTAGGATCTCGGTGCAGTCTGGGTGCATATTCTTGAGTTCTGCTGCATAGAGCAGTATGGTTTATTTTTTTTTTTTTTTCATTTTGCTTGGCTCCGTTGGTATCTTTTCCTTTTCTAATGCTTTGCATGAGGGAAACCTGTGCGAACCTTTTGCATTATTTATTGCACACTTGTTTGCAGCATACAGTGTGCTTCATTAGCTAATTTTGGCTTTGGACCTCCCACGATGCCCTGGCAAGGGTAAGGTAATAAGACTGTAGTATTAGTGTCAGCCGTGGGTCAGGGATGTCACGATGGTATATCATTAAAATGTGACACTGCCAAAAACTGCCCCGACTCCGCTGTCCTTAGAAAAGGAGCCCTTGGATTTCGGGTTGCACAGTGGCACAGCAAGCTCGCCGTGGATGAATTGTCCATTTTGAGGGAGCAGCCAGCCGCAGATCCGGACCTCCACAGTGCGGTGAGGGGCTGGCGGGCACAAAGGGGGAGTTCTGTAGCCAGTGAATAATGGGAAGCCCCTTTCATCGGCAGGACTAACCTTTTGGCAGCCACCAGCACACTCTATTCTGATCTGCTGATTGGGGAGGACAATACACTGAAGCTTACTTTGAATGAATGCTGCCACCAACAGTGTCCCCATTCAGGGGCTTTGGGAACCATCTTTGGCCATTGTCCCCCAGCACTCCCTCAGACAGCAGGAAAAGGGAAAGTGAGAGCAGCTATAGGGGGAAAAGTACTTCTTTTCTTGGCTTTAATCTCTCTTTAAAGCTTCATAGATCTACATTTCCAGCTGAGCTACTGGAACTATGCAGTGTCAGATAAATACAGAAAGAGAGAGGTTTCAAGCTGAGCTTTCAAATCCCCTTATCTGCATGAACTAATAATGCAGATTTAGTGCTGTTAAAAACAGAGACTGATAAGTCTTTTCCTTTAAAGCCTTTAAACTGCTAAAGAGCATTTAACAGCGATGCAGTTCAAACCCGATGAACAATGCTGAGAAGGAAAACAGTTTATTGAGCTAAACCTTCACTGAATGAAACTGAAACACCTTCTCACAGTTGATTTAGGTCACTGTGGGAGTCAGTGAAAGCTCAGTTGTGTTCACGCTGCATCTTCATAAACATGAGTTATGTACAGCCTTTTATCTGGGCAACAGCTACCACAGGAGTTGGGGATGCAAACCAGAAGAGGGTTTGCAAATAAAGCTAAAATGGATCAGTTTAACTGTTCAGATTGCCAGGGAAGTTGCTGTCTCTAAAGTTATTTTAGCTACCAAGTTTTAACACATAAGAAAAACGCTGTGCAACATCACAGCATTGGTGAGCAGGGGGAGGCTGGGGGGAAACCAAGGAAAAAGCATTGGGGGAATGGTACAAAGTTATGCTAAAAGTTTTCTCCTGGGGAAATCTGTTAGTAATCCTAATAGCATGTTTGAGGAGTAGAAGGGTTTGTTCTTCTAGCTTTAATAAAGCTTCTGCTTTAATAAAGTTAATCCTGAAGTGATTTAGCTTTAATAGCATTAGAATTAGTTAAATAGAAAGAACACTTTTAAAGGCAGCTCACTGGTATGTGCTGAGCCAGATTGCATTTAATATTTGCCATTTTGCAAGGGAGATGTGGTGTCAGATTGTTGCTTTAAAGACCAAGAGGATTGGAATCACGCTGTTGTTGAACAAATATTTGCTTGTAACTTTACAAATACACATACAGTGTGTATGTAGAAAATTGAGGTGTGCAATGAGTCTCTGTCTGCACCAGTGTAAACCCAAACTGAGCCCCCCAGAAGTCAGTTATGTTACGTTGTTCCAGGTAGGCACAGGTCTACAGTCAAAACTGAATTTGCTTTAAAATGAGATACGAACATCTGCTTTATATTTTGTGGAAGGAAAAAAAATTCTTCAAAGCCCGTTTTGGATAATTGCCATGTACAGTTAGCCCTATTTGCATGATACTTGGTTTTTGGTATTTTCTGAAGTTGGAGGGTGTAAACTACGCATGCGAGTAAGAGAGGAAAATAGTTTACATTTTGGTTTAATTTTTCATGCAGCTGTTATAACTAATGCTTGTGCATATTTCATATTAATTAACTATATTGACATATTAGTCATGTCCTGTAGCCACCTGATGGGCAAAAGTGTAAGAATGCAATACCCAGGCTGGGGAATGAGGAAAAAGCTGCAGGATGGGGCCCTTCAAGAGTGGGAAGGAGAGTTTGGGAAGGACAGGACGTGAGGTGTTAGCCTGATCCCTGGCTCTTGGGATGTGCCAGCCATCTAAACTTCCTGAAGTTATCTCAAGCATTGAGATCCATAAAATGAGTGTGGTTTTTTTTTAATGAAAGTGACAGTGCTCTTCTGTTTTCCTATTGAAATGTTCCCTGGCCTAGTTCAACAGAAACATTTTTACATTACAACTGTGAAATCTTAGCATAAAGCTTCCCTTTGTGCCCTTCATTATTTTCTCACAAATATAGTCCATTGTCACATAGCTGAAGTTAATTTGATCAACATTGGGACATTTAACTTTTATGTCCGGTCAAAGGAGCTGTTTCATGCTGATTTTGAGTATTGAAAAGAAATGATTGCCAGAAAAATAATGTTACTATTAACAATTCAGAGCAATTAGTTTCCCAGGGAGAGGCGATGTGATGCACCGGCTCCACACAACTATTCTTTGTCATTTTATGGATGCTCATCAGTCAACTGTCACCTCTTCTCAAAGACCCCTCCAATCTAAATGTTTCTCTTTGGGCTTTTCCCAGAACTAGCAGCTGAATGAGCAAAAGAAAAGCCACTTAGTTTCTAGGCAAAGGAAAACTTTGCTCTAAAGATCTGGGTCATTTGGGAAGATCCTCAAAGCTGCTTGCTTTAGGAGGGCTTGGGATTTTTTTTGTCTTGGTTTGGTTTTGTTTTTACTTTATTTGTTTTTTGCAGCAG